AAGCCTGTGCACCACAACTCTTGAGACTATGCTCTAGAGCCCAGGAGCTGCAACTACTGATCCCATGCTCTGCAACGAGAGAAGCAGCTGCAGTGAGAAGCCTGTGACAAGAGAGTAACCTCACCAGCTGCAACTAGAGAAAAAGCCTGAGCAAGCAGCCAAAAATAAAATTAATAAAATAATGGAAGCATGGAAGCTCTGGGTACGCCTCACAGACACATATTTTACACCACATATATTTGGCAGTTCCAGAGTTGCATTCACTGTAATAAAACTGCAGTTGTAAGAATAGGGGAAAAAAACACACCATCATCATTTTTTTTTTCATCATCATTTTTTAAAAAATCAGATCATCGCATTCCTCTGCTCAAAACCCTCTGATGGTTTCCTTTCTCCTTTAGGATAAAAGTCAAAATAGTTACAGCACCACACGTAAGCTGGCCTTTTAACTCCTACCACTTGCTCATTCACGTCTCCCTGCAGCCACCCTGCTCACCTTGCTAGCCCTTCAACACACCAATAATGGCCCTTCCTCAGTTTCCCCTCTACCTCTTCCCTCCACCCTTTACATCTTTGCCATGGATTATATGCATTACTTCCTTCCTCAAGTCATTCTGGACTCTTCAAAATCACAGTTTCAGGGAGGGACCTCCTGACCAGAGTATTTAGAACTGAATCCCCAGGACTTCCCTGGTAGCCCAGTGACTAAGACTCTGCACTCCCAGCGCAGGGAGCCTGGGTTTGATCCCTGAATATTCACTGGAAGGACTGATGCTGAAGCTGAGACTCCAATACTTTGGCCACCTGATGCAAAGAGCTGACTCACTGGAAAAGACTCTGATGTTGGGAATGACTGAGGGCAAGAGAAGAAGGAAGAGACAGAGGATGAGATGGTTGGATGGCATCACCAACTCAATGGACATCAATTTGAGCAAACTCTGGGAGATAGTGAAGGACAGGAAAGTCTGGTGAAAAGAGTCGGACACAACTGAGCAACTCAACAACAGTGAACTAGATCACATGCCACAACTAAGAGTTTGAATGCTGTAATGAAGATTGAAGATCCCTCATGCTGAAATAAGACCCAGCAAGTAAGCAAATAAATATTTTTTAAAAACTGAATCATTCAGGGCATTCCTTCTCCCTCTCCTATCCAATACTTTTCAACAGAGCACTTAACCACAGATAACCACTGTTATCTGTTTATTTAACATTTTCAGTCACTTCCAGTAGAATGTAAATTCCATAAGGACTGTTATTTTTTCTTGTCATATTTATTACTATATCCAATATCACCTATAAAAGTGACTGACATACAGTAAGGAATCATTGAATGTTCTGGGTAAAACGAACGAATAAATGAAAGAAGGAACTGAAAGTGTAGCTCCACCTTCTCTGTCTATCTTTTTTTTTTCATTTTTGGCCACACCCTGCAGCAGGTGGGATCTCAGTTCTCTGACCAGGGACGGAACCTGTGCCCCTGCACGGGTAGGCGGTGTCTTAACTCCGGACCACCAGGAAGTGCCTGATCTTTAAATGATGCTTACTTGTTACTAGCGTGTGTGTGTGTGTGTGTGTGTGTGAGCTGCTCAGTCCTGTCCTCTTCATGACCGCATGGACTGTAAACTTCCAGGCTCCTCTGTCCATGGAATTCTCCAGGCAAGAGTACTGGAGTGGGTAGTCATTCCCTTCTCCAGGGGATCTTCCTGACCCAAGCATCACACCCAGATCTCCCACATTACAGGCAGATTCTGAGCTGCCAGGGAAGCCCCACTGGTTACTAGGTCTCAGGCCTATTCTCTCCACCCTCAATTTTTCTTTTCTCTTATTTCAACACTATCTAAGCTCCTATTGGGCTTCCTGGGTGGCTCAGTGGTAAGAATCCACCTGCTAATGCAGGAGATGTGAGTTCAACCCCCGATCCGAGAAAATCCCCTGGAGTAGGAAATGGCAACCCACTCCAGTATTCTTGCCTGGGAAATCCCATGGACAGAGGAGCCTGGCGGGCTATAGTCCATGAGCTTGCAAAGAGTCAGACACCACTAGTGACTAAATAACAACAACAAAAGCTTCTATCACCAATATATGTTGTTGGCAGCCCTACTCATATGCACATGTGTGTGATCTATGACTAGACATGTGCATAATGCAGATGCCTTAGAGACATAACACATTCCATGTACGAAAAGGAATGCGCACTGGCCTTTTAACTTTACACCCAAACTATAAATTCCCCGGCTTCTCAATATCAAGAAACACCACCACAACCAATCCGGTTGCTCAAGTCTTAAGAGAATTGAGCTTCAATGCCCGCATCAGCCTTAAACCACCCCTTATGACACAGTCACCAAATTCCATTCCTTCTAAGGAAACGTTTCTCAAGTGCTGCCAGGAGCCAGCACATGAGATCCCACCCATGACAAGGTCATGAGGAGAAGACCTGACAAGCAAGGCAGATCAGGACTTCAGGGATTTCGAAAAGCTGCCCTGGTGCTCACCTTAAAGATGATCTCTGTCTTTCTGATGCTTGCTATATTAGACTACTCCCTAATTTCTATGTCACAGGTAGAAGGCCTTCCCCGATCTCTTTCCAAACAGAATCAACTTAGAACTTTAATTAATATGTCCGCCGGATGGTGGTATCCTATAAGATTATCCAGGATGAAAGGAGTGTTTCAATTTAGACCCTTTTGCTGGCATTCTAGCCTGCTTGGCAAATGCGTACTAGTGCACATGACTGCTCACAACACCTTAATCATAAACAGCATAAAGAACCTGATCACACAAAAGGCCCTAATAGGCACAGAGCCCTTCGGGGGTGAGGAAGCCCTATTAGAGAACATAAAATATTATTCTAAACGTGGTTATAGTTAAAGATTTAGAAAAATAAGAGTTTAGAATTGTTAATTTTAACCAGGAATGCTAAACAGGGGCTGCCTCACTGGAGCTGCAGTCTTTGTGTGGTAAACCTTTTAGATAAATTTAACTGATAACTTCTGCTAAAGGACTGACCTTTGTGTTCATTAAAGAATAGATTATGGAAAACAGGTTTACATTCACCTGAGCTGCATAAAATGTTAACAGGCCCCAAGGCCAGAAGATAATGTACATGACCCTCATAAACAAAAAAGTATGCAGAAAACACCCTGGTTTCGTGAAGGACAAGCTGAGGTAAAGTTAAACTATCTTCCCCTTAGAAATGTACTAACAGGGTATAAAAGCTATGGTAAAAAATAAAGGATTGCCAGACTCTGCCAGACCCTGTGTTATAGCCATGCTCTCCAGGAAACAAACTCACTCAGAGGGACAATGCAGATAGTGGAGTGCAGTTTATTACACCGGTGGGCCCAAGGCAGAGTCTCCTCTTAGCCAAGGACCCCAACCAGCATTTGTGAAAATCTTTTATACCCCATGTGTACGTGTCCAAACCCACCACCCCAATTCCCTTGAGACTTACATAAAGGAAGGAAGGGTAAATACAACTACAATAACCCCATTATTCACGTGTTATGTGTTCAAACAGTCAATAATCAATAAGCCTGCAGTTAATTCCAAACAGTTAATAATCAATAAGCTTGTGGTCACGTTCCAACCAGTTAATAATCGATAAGCCTGTGATTACATCCCGATAGATAGGGAAAAAATTTATGACCTGTCCGGAGACAGGGGTGATTACGGTATGTTTCCTCTTAGGCAATGAGTAACCTGGATGTGATCTTCAAGATTCCCCTGTCCGGAGGGGGTCTTCTCCTTCCATTGTCGTTCCCACAGGCCCTAAGCGGAGAGTTCAGAGTCCACTGGAGAGGTGGCTGAGCACGATCTGCACAGATAGGCCTGAGATGGAGTCCTGGCCCTAAGAATTCCTTCTTCACCTGCAAACACCCCCATCTGGTCATTCTCTCTCTCTCTCTCTTTCTCTCTCTTTCTCTCTCTCCCTCCCTCGCAGACTTGGCCCTATCAAGGTTGGTCTCACATGTCTTTCTCTCTCTCTCTCTCTCTCTCTCTCTCTCTCTCTCTCTCTCTCTCTCTNTGACCAACCTAGACAGCATATTAAAAAGCAGAGACATTACTTTACCAACAAAGGTCTGTCTAGTCAAAGCTATGGTTTTTCCAGTAGTCACGAATGGATATGAGAGTTGGACCATAAAGAAAGCTGAGTGCTGAAGAATGGATGCTTTTAAATTGTAGTGCCGGAGAAGACTCTTGAGAGTCCCTTGGACTGCAAGATCAAACCAGTCAATAATAAAGGAAATAAACCCTGAATATTCATTAGAAGGACTGATGCTGAAGCTGAAGCTCCAATACTCTGACCACCTGATGCGAAGAGCCAACTCACTGGAAAAGACCCTGATCCTGGGAAAAATTGAAGGCAAAAGAAGTGGGTGGCAGAGGATGAGATGGTTAGATAGTATCACTGACTCAATGGACATGAATCTGAGCAAACTCTGGGAGATAGTGAAGGACAGGGAAGCCTGGCATGCTGCTGTCCATGGGGTTGCAAAGAGTGGGACATGACTTGGTGACCGAACAACAACAACAACATATGGGATCTTAGTTCCCTAACCAGGGATCCAGCCTACATCTCCTGCATTGGAAGGTGGATTCTTAATCAGTGGACCATCAGGGAAGTCTTTGTTTTTTGTCTGTCCTGTGTTCCTTCTTGCAAACAGTGTTCCAACATACTTTTCCATTTGCCTAGAACATCCTCTATGGCTGACGACATCCTCCAGAATATTCAGGAAATAGCCTAAACTGCTGATGCAAAGGGAAGCCTTCCAAGATTCAAGATTCTGAAACATACTATCCCAAGCTCCTCGTGGCAGAAAGCTGTATATCTGAAATTACATAAGTATTTGTATAATTGTTTGTTTGATGTCAAGATTCGCCTACAGACTTTATTGGAGCATAAACCCTTGCTGCCCACTATTGTGGAGAAGGAATGGCAACCCACTCCAGTATTCTTGCTTGGAGAATCCCAGGGACGGAGGAGCCTGGTGGATTGCCATCTGTGGGGTCGCACAGAGTCAGACAGGACTGAAGCGACACAGCAGCAGCAGCAGCAGCAGCAGCCCACTACTGTGTCTAAAACATGAATGATACAGAGAAGGTACTTCATAGAATGAGACAATAAATGGATGAATGAAAATAGTATAATGCTGTCAGCAACTGAGTAAGTTCTACAACTTCCTCAGCAGGAAGAGCAGATGCTAGAGACATGGGTGTTACTCTTTAAGAGCAAAAAGGGACTGAGGGTTGGAAAACTAGATGCTAGGAGCACACTGGTGTTCACAAGCCACAACTGTGGATTGCCAAAAAGATAAGCATACATCTCAAAGGCAGAAGAGAGAGAATAAAATATGACAAAAGCGCTCACAAGTAACATGATAGATTTTGTGGCTCTGGTCCCGGGGAATGTTGGGGAGGGTTGCCTAGTGCTGTGAATGTATTGGACTTGCTGTTTGTGCCTGTGAAGGAAAAGTATCATGGATCCACTGACCCATATCATGAATCCCAAACAAACAACATCAACAGAGGAGAAAATAACTGAACAGATTGATTCTGTAATTGTGTTAATGGACAGACAAGAGCAATGGCCAAGATTTGATTTCACACTGACATTTCTGCCATTCTTCTGTCCAGTCATTCTCATGGGAACTATGACATTAACCAGCAAGTGAAACATCCAGCTCAGGATACATGGAGTAGTAATATACTTCTGGGATCTGAATTTGAGTTCTGCCCACTTGGAGTTTGGGGGGTTAATATTTAAGGCCTGAAAGCCACCCAAAAGGCAGGTGACGCTGAGAGAAGTTCCCCAGGCCACTCTGTGAAAATAAAAGACAAGTTTACATCCGATGTCACTTAGGAAATACTTCATCTCAAAGGCTGCCAATGTTGGAGGGATTCCTCCACAGATTAGGGTCAAAGTATTGGCTAAAGCAAGGTGGTTGATTATTTGCTCAATTGGTCTCAATCCATGCCTCTTAAAAAGAGAGCAGATACAATGACAAAGGAGTGAGACATTCCCCACAGTCCCTATTCCAGCCTGAGCGAGGATCACCATACCTATTGCCACATCAATAGAAATCATTCCTTCATTGGCTGGGATATGATGGTTATGCTCAGACACATGGAACCTGGGTAGAAACAGAACACATATATGAATTTCTTCAAGTCAAGTGAAGTACATTTCCCACCAGAATTTCTTTAAAAGTTCCTTTCTGGAAATCCTACTCTAATATCATGCATAAAAATCCATCCATGAGGAATTCCCTGGCAGTCCAGTCAGTGCTTAGGCTCAGGTTCAATCCCTGGTCAGGTTCAAACTGCTCAGGGGACTAAGTTACCAAAAACTTTGCAGCACATGAGGCCAAAAAAGGAAAAAAAATATATCCCTAAAGTTTGTTTCTCTTAATCACCCAGTATAACCCTCATAATACTTATAACACCTGAAATCACTTCATTGGATTACCTTATTTCTATCGAAGGAAGACACTTTCCTTCAATAGAAACATGAGAGCTATTAAAGTAGGGATTTGTCTATCTCGTTTTCCATCCATATCTAGGGTCTAGAACAATCTGTCACTAGTAGGCAGTCAATAAATAACTATTACATGAATAAATGAATAAACCAATGAATGGAGTCATTACTATGACTGTGTGTGCTCAGTCATGTCTGACTCTTCATGACCCCATAGACTAGCCCATCAGGCTCCTCTGTCCGTGGAATTTTCCAGGCAAGAATATTGGAGTGGGTTGCCATTTCCTACTCAAGAGGATCATCTTGACCCAGGGATTGAACCTGTGTCTTTTGCATTGGCAGATGGGTTCTTTACCGCTGCACTACCTAGGAAGCCCCAGGCACACAGCTATTCAATATTTTTCTAATAAATTTTTCAATAAAATGGCAGGAAAAAATTATTCCTCTTCAAAATGTAGATTATTTTATGTGTTACATTCAAAGAACCAACTGAAATTTCTTAATTCCTTTTTTCTCTCTTCTTTTTTTAAATTTTATTTTTTCTCTCTTTTTTCTTTACAAACCCCTGTGTCAAGGGCTGACTTTAAATAGATCACAGAGAGGAAACTGCTCTGCTATAAAACTGAAATATTTTAGAAGCAGTACACTAGTAATTTATCCAAATATTATACAAATGTGCAAAAATTTTAAAATATACTTTGAATAAGCACTTTAAAATTTAGGAGTAAACTATGTCAATAATGTACTGGAAATATAAAAGTAAAAAAATTAAATAACATAAGAGAAATCTTGAATGAGCAGAACTAAATTCCATGTTCTTAGATGGGATAATATAATACGTCATCAAGATTTGAAACTTCCTCAAAGGTGTAGATTCAATTCAACATCAATTAACTAAACACACAAACAAACATATAAAACTAAGTCATTCTTTAAAAATAACAAAAGAAAAATAATGATGATGAAGTGGATTGACCTACCCAATTTCTTAAAATCTAACACAGGAATTAAAGTGTGTGGTATGGGAACTTCCTGGTGGTCTAGTGACTAAAATGCCATGCTCCTAATGCAGGGACCCCAGGTTCAATCAGTGGTCAGGGAACTAAACCCTGCCTGTCACAACTAAAAGATCTAAGATCCCATGCACCTCAACTAAGACCCAGTGTAGTCAAATAAATAAATACTTAAAAATAAAAAAATTTCAATCTCATACTGCAGTTTTTAAAAAATTGTGTGGTACAAATGAAGAATAGTTAAATATATCAATGCTTCAGAAAGAAGTTTCAGAAAAAAATTATAAATAGGAAACTCAACAAGCAAGATAAGTTCAGCATGTGCTCACTAATCATGTCCAACTCTTTTTCCACACCATGGACTTTAGCCTGCCAGGCTCCTCTGTCCATGGGATTCTTCAAGCAAGAATACTGGAGTGGGTTGTCATTGCCTTCTCCAGGGGATCTCTCCAACCCGTGGATCGAACTCCTGTCTCCTGCACTGGGAGGTGGATTCTTCACCACTGAGCCACCAGGGAAGCCCTATCTTACAGGCAAACAAAATTCAGGGGAAAAAAAAAAAAAATCAGAAAGAGCAGGAAACAGACACCCACACACACCAGAGGTGTCACTGACCAAGAGAGTATTGTAGCTGGTTAGTATTATAGCTGTAGAGTATTGTAGTTTCCTATTTATAACTCCTGAATGGGCTCTGTATTTGAGCAAAAAGTGTGAAGATGCCTCCCTACAGTTTTATTTAACCCGAGGTTCAGAGGGACTTCATTAAATCATTAACCTCTTGTGAACACTGACCCTGTGCTAGCCACTGCCCTGATCTGTCATATTTACTTTCAAGATTCTTATGTTCCCCTGGAACACAGAACTGAAGGCAGGGTTCACATCAGGTGTCTGATTGTAGGACCAATATCACATCTCAGAAATCAAGTCTTGGACCCAAGTTTGCTATTAGGAATAAAGACCCAACTCTGAGGATATTCGATGGTAAAGATGCCTTCTGTAATTGGATCCGGCACTAATTCCAAGCTGTATTATTTCAATTTGAAGATCAAAGTCTACAACAATGTAATTTCCTAGTGCACCAGTTGTAGTAAAGATTTGGACAAGGTCTTAAAATCTTCATACAGGGCACTCAAAGAACTTTTCAGTATAAATGAGTTTCCCCAATTCAGTCTCATCCAGACAAGGTCCAGTGGAAACAAGGCCTAAACATTGATTTAAGATAGTGTGGGGACTTCCCTGGAGTCCAGTGGCTAAGACTCCACCTGACCACAGTGTAGGGTGCCCACGTTCAATCCCTAGTCAGGGAAATAGGGCCCACAGGCCACAGCTAAGAGTTCACATGCTGCAGCCAAATAAATAAATATTAAAACCAGAATAAGATAGTTTGTGCACTATAATAATTTAATACTTTAATGTTGTATACATTTAATTCTTCTTGTTCCTGTGCTTAGGGAATCTCAGACTAAGACACTTTAATCAAAGGACAGAATTAATGAAGACAGAGGTGAAAATTTGGACAGAACTAAAGCAGGGAAAGAAGTGAGATGACTTTGGAGGCAGTGAATAAGAGGAATATTCTCTGCAATAATCAGAAAGCAGCCCTTCACACAGTCTCTCTCAGGGACTCTTGCATGTTCTCATGAAAAGGAATTATTATCCAGATCTTGGGTAGATTCTCATCTCCAAATACTCACTTCTTTTTTTTTTCCAGGCAGTTTCTAAGTCCAAAATAAAAACTCCACTCACCTAAGTAACTTCTGTTCTGGGATGCTGAATCCAATGATCACTACATTTGTCATGGGAGAGAAAATCTGAACCCCTTTATTATAGGTTTGGTTTTCCTGACCTCATCTCTCTAGAGCTGTAATTATTATGTTATTTCTAGCATCAATGACAGTGCCTCCAAGAAAAACGCTAAACATCTTTTTCTTGGCATACTAATTATCCAAATTAATTATGAGTGTTTAAATAGACTATCCCAAGATGCTGTCAGAAGTGACTGGATGTAAACATTTTTTTCCACATTCCCTACAGGGATAAGGTCAGATAATTGTGAGTCCTAAAAAGTGAGACCTTAGAGAATAAACTGTGATGCTGTCTATATTCTGAAAATCTCTGAAAAACATATTTCCTAGGAGAGAAGTCTCAGATTGCTAAGACCTTGATGAATTCCACCTATTCAAGATTTGGTAAGAAAGAAAGAAGCCTTTCTCAAGGAGACAGTGTGGGGGACATCTAACTAAGGTAGCATGTATTGACAGAGAACCTATTATAAAAGGTGCGATAGATGAGATGGGGCTGGTCCAAAGGGAAAGAATCCACCTGCCTATGCAGGGTACACGGGTTTCATCCCTGGTCCAGGAAGATCCTATGTGCCGTGGAGCAACTAAGCCCACACCTATTGAGCACCACAACTACTGAGCCCATGTGCCACAAGTACTGAAGCCTATGTGCCTAGAGCAGAAGCTCCAAAACAAGAGAAGCCACTGCAATGAGAAGCCCACCCACCACAATTAGAGAGTGGCCCCCATTCATCACAACTAGAGAAAAAGCCTATGCAGCAACAAAGGCCTGATGCAGCCAAAAGTAAATAAATAAATAATTTAAAGAAAATAATGGTCTATGAGCAACTTGAAAAAATGTTCTACAAGATTAGTCACTAGGGAAACACAAAACCACAGTGAGATATCACTACACAATCACTCAAATTGTTAAAATTTAAGAGACTGATGATGAAGAGCAACCGAACCTCTCATATATTGCTGGCAGGAATGTCAAACGTTAAAACTACTTTGGAAGACAATTCAACAATTTTTTATAATGTTAAACCTATACTTATCATACTACTCAACAGTTTCACTTCTAAGTATTTATTCAAGAGAAGTGAAAATGTACATCCCCACAAAGACTTATGCATGATGTTCATAGAAGATTTATTCATAATAAAAGTTGGAAACAATCCAGTGAATAGATAAGCCAATTATGGTATATTCACAGAATGGAACCCTGTTCAGCAATGCATAGTAATATAGTTCAACAGAATTCTGCTCAAGAATGGACAACTGATACAATACCAAAGATAAATCTCAAAAAACATTTTGCTGAGTAAATAAGTCAGGCACAAGAGGGTACATACTGTATGATTCCATTTATGTGAAATTCTAGAAAAGTCAATCTGTAGTGACAGAAAGCAGGTTAATGGTTGCCTAATTGCCTGTGACTGGGGAAGGAGGTGGAATTGACTACAAAGGAACATGACAGAACATATTATGCTCATTACCTCAGTCCTGTCCGACCCTTTGTGACCCTATGGACGTAACCCGCCAGTCTCCTCTGTCCATGGGATTTTCCAAGAATACTGGAGTGGGTTGCCATTTTCTCCTCCCAAGGATCTCCCCGACCTGAGGATCAAACCCCAGTCTCTTGCATCTCCTGTAATGCAGGCAGATTCTTTATCTCTGAACCACTGGGAAAGCCTGACAGAACATATTGGGGATGGTGGAGATGTTGTATATCTTGATTGTAGTGATGGTTGCATAGGTCAAACACACACTGGTCAAAACTCATTGACCTGTACACTTACAGTGGTACATTTTATTGTATGTAAATTATACCACAGTGAAGTTGATGCTTTTTAAATATT